CAGGAGTTTGAGACCAGCCTGGCCAACATGGTGAAACCCCATCTCTACTAAAAATACAAAAATTAGTTGGGCGTGGTGGTGTGTGCCTGTAGTCCCAGCTACTCAGGAGGCTGAGTCAGAAGAATCGCTTGAACCCAGGAGGCAGAGGTTGCAGTGAGCCGAGATCAAGTCACTGCACTTCAGCCTGGTGACAGAGCGAGACTCTGTCTCAAAAAACAAAACCAAAAACAATAATTACCTCTGGAGAGTGGAATTGGAGATGTAAAATGAGGGGGGACATCTACTTTTCTACTTGATACACTCATATTCTTTTAATATTTTTACACAGAGGATGTATTACCTTCTGGTAAAAGAATAAAAGCTCAGGATCGCTGAAGTTTCATGTGTGACTGTCATTCAATGGACATTTGTTGAAAGGATGAATGCCCCGGGCCACTTGTCTCCTCTGTTTCTCTGCTCTTTTGCTTGCACTTCCTGACCTCGGTTTGTCACCTGTCTGGGTTTATCCAGGCAGGTGCTCTCAGACACCCCCAGGGCTCTAGTGGTACGTGACTCCAGGCTGCACACACTGTATCCCTCGGTTGGGGCCACGCAAGTTGTCATGAGCGCCTCCGCTGCTGCCAGGGGCAGCTCCCATCTAAGGACAGCTGGTTGCTTGACTCTCCCCATTCTGAAACCCGTTACCGGGCATCTGTGCCTGCCCTGACTGCTCTCCCATGAACACAGGGCCTCTGCCCAGCTGCCTCGCGAGACGTGCTGCCCTGTGGATCCCTGCTGCCATCTGGCCATGCTTCGGGATCTGGCCTGCTCTGTTGTGCCTGTGTCTGTGGCTGGGAACAGCTGACACTGGGACAAAAAAATTGGGACAATTGTCCCTGCTTCAGGTTCCCAAGGTGCTGCCAGGACCAGCTGCACGGTGACTCCCACAGCAGCTGGGGCTGGAAAAGGGTCTTAGAATTTGGCTGGGAAAGGCCCCTAAGCAGCCTTTCGTCCAGTCAGTCTCAGGCCAGGCTCCTGTGACGTGTGGGTGGCGCCTCCAAAGGTGGACTCAGATGGGTTTTTCCTATTTTATATATAAAAAAGAACCAATTAATGATTAATGGCTACTGTCTTTTTGATTTTCCATTTTTCTCCAACAAACGTTTTTGGAATCTCTGCCTGTGACCACTTGTTGGCAAAAGATGCCAGCAGACAGACAAATGAACAAGGAGCTGGCAAGAATCAGTGGGAACACTTGGAAGCAGCCACCTGCTTATTTTGACAGTTTAGTTTCCTCCTGTGACCACGTGCTCATGGCTGCAGCTTCATATTTGGTTTTATAAGTGTCAGTTTAATGAACACTTCTCTGCAAATTAAAGTTAGTAAAGTCAGATGCCAGCTTTTCCCTTCTTTGGGGGCTCTGCCACAAATACCGTAACTCCCATTTGCTCTTGCGCCTAAATTGTGGAGGAGTCTAGTTCAAGTCCCATTTTATAGAAGAGGAAACTGAGGTGGTCTTTCATTGGCACAGAGTGTCCGACTCTTCCCTCCCAGCATTCAGTAACAGGCATGGTGGCTCCTCTGCCCTCTCCTGGGCACCCGTTTCTTTTTTGTGTGTGTTTTTTCTTTTTTTTTTGAGATGAAGTCTCGCTCCGTTGCCCAGGCTGGAGGGCAGTGGCGGAACTTGTGTTACTGCAACCTCCACCTCCCAGGTTCAAGTGATTCCCCTGCCTCAGCCTCCTGAGTAGCTGGGATTACAATCACGTATCACCACACCCAGCTTAATTTTGAATTTTTAGTAGAGACGGGGTTTCCCCATGTTGGCCAGGCTGGTCTCAAACTCCTGACCTCTGGTGATCCACTCATCTTGGCCTCCCAAAGTGCTGGGATTACAGGCCTGAGCCACCAGCCACCCCTTTCTTGTGACCGGGTCTCCTGTTCTGGTTGCTTTCACCGACTGCTGCGTGTCTCCACGGCTGCTCCTTAATACTGATGCCAGTTATTATTATCATTATTTTCGGAGACAGGGTCTTGGTATGTCGCCCAGGCTTAAGTGCGACCTTGGCTCAAAATAGCGTTGGCCTCCCGGGCCCAAGTGATCCTTCCACCCAAGCCTCCCAAGTAGCTGAGACTACAGGCACGCACCACCATGCCTGAGTAATTAAAAAAATTTTTTTGTGAAGACAGTCTGGCTATGTTGCCCAGGCTGGTCTTGAACTCCTGGGCTCAAGCAACCTCCCTCCTTGGCCTCCCAAAGTGCTGCGATTACAGGCATGAGTCATGGCACCTGGCCTATTATTTTTAATACATAATGTTAATGCTTATTGTTATAAACAAATGTGTGTTCATTGTTAAAAACAAATTCAGCTATTGTGGAAGCTGAAAGGAGACAGCTCTCTGAGCTTACATTTATAAGAGAGTGGGACGGCCCGGCGCAGTGGCTCACGCCTGTAATCCCAACAATTTGGGAGGCCGAGGTGGGCGGATCACAAGGTCAGGAGATC